TTTGCCGTCTTCCTAGTATAAACAACTAGTCATTTTATGTATTTCCAATAAAATAACGCACCTGTGATTGTGAAGAAGCCTTACATACCAATATGCAGAGCTTGGGGGAGGGGTTAAATTATAATTAGGTCCAAAATTTGACAACCTGCTGGTCCATGTTTACTTTGAATAAACAAAGAGCTCCCATAACAAATGAGAGTAAAGCAAAAAGCTACAGATATAAAACAGTATTTAAAGTAATTATAGATATATTATATATTATTATAGATGTTCTATATTACAGATATAGAACAGTATGTAAAGTCTGTATCCAACTGCTGAAAAAAAGCATATGTTAGAGCCACTTCCAGTATTCAGATAGTTAAAAAAAAATAAGCACATTAAAAAACAGTTCTGTGCAAATTGTGCACACGTACCAAGAATTGAAAAAAAAAATACTCTGAACATGTAAGATCTACATATCAGAGTAATGAAAATCTCTGCATGAATGATATGATTAGAAAAAGATGCTGATGTTCTAAAATGCTTCTTACAGGTTATTTGACTCTAGGTGTTTCCAGGTTCAACTGACCTTTTAAAGGTGAAGTGATATGGCTCCTTGACACCTTTTATTGAGGGTTTTTTCCCCCCTATAAATATGCAGGGTTTCTCTTGTGAATGATTAATGCGAAACTGAATTTTTTTCAGAATTACCTTTAACCTTGCTGGCCTTAATACAGCGTCACAGTAAGAGCAGCACATTAGTGGTGTCCATGTATTGCAGGGACTCACTTCACAAATCTAAAAATAGGGCAATCAGTACTAGTCTAACAAGGACACTAAGCCTGTTAAGATAATAAACACATGGAACACGTCCTAGTCAAACAATAGTTTGCATTCTCCCAGAGTGTATTCACACAGAAATGTACATGCCACTTGCATACGGTAGGGATCCTCCCCCTGCACACGAAATGTAGCTTAAAAATGTATGTGGCAGTACAATGGACGTGCTCCAAGTCATGCCTCACATACCTTCAGCATGCCAACATGCCTCACCTGAGGTCAGCATGCAGAAACCGGGCCAAAGGTAAAGGCACACAAAGCATGCACACTCAAAAAAGTGAAATTTGGTGGTTATTGCATTTACAAGACTAACATGTAATTTGAACACAATGAATTTATGTTTCTAAGGTGAATGTAATAAAATCATATA